AGAGGGGGGGGGGGGTGGGAATTAGAGAGGGGGTGGGAATTAGAGAGGGGGTGGGAATTAGAGAGGGGGTGGGAATTAGAGAGGGGGTGGGAATTAGAGAGGGGGTGGGAATTAGAGAGGGGGTGGGAATTAGAGAGGGGGTGGGAATTAGAGAGGGGGTGGGAATTAGAGAGGGGGGGGGGGGAATTAGAGAGGGGGGGAATTAGAGAGGGGGGGGGGGGGGGGGAATTAGAGAGGGGGGGGGGAATTAGAGAGGGGGGGGGGAATTAGAGAGGGGGTGGGAATTAGAGAGGGGGTGGGAATTAGAGAGGGGGGGGGGAATTAGAGAGGGGGGGGGGGAATTAGAGAGGGGGGGGGGATTAGAGAGGGGGGGGGGGAATTAGAGAGGGGGTGGGAATTAGAGAGGGGGTGGGAATTAGAGAGGGGGGGGGGGGTGGGAATTAGAGAGGGGGTGGGAATTAGAGAGGGGGTGGGAATTAGAGAGGGGGTGGGAATTAGAGAGGGGGTGGGAATTAGAGAGGGGGTGGGAATTAGAGAGGGGGTGGGAATTAGAGAGGGGGGGGTGGATCAACGGTACTTTACTGTGCATGTAGTATTAACCATGTAGTGGCGAAGTATACATGATAATAAAGCTGCGAACCACGTCGTGGAAAGCTACACAAGATGAGTAACCAATGTACAAGCAATAATTATTATTATTGCAAAAAAAGGTTTCGAACATTCAGGGAGAAGACATTACTTGCATGACACATTGGCAGACTCGAACATTCCAAGATTTCCCTGACAAGAAGTCCGCGAGAGTGGCATGGGAAAGACGGGCGCTCTGACAGGATTTTACTGTAATATTTTTTGTGAATTTACATTTTTTGTTTGCTTGTTTTCTTGTGTGTGTGTGTCTGTGTGTGTGTGTCTGTGTGTGTGTGTGTGTGTGTGTGTGTTCGTGTGTGTGTGTGTGTGTGTGTGTCTGTGTCTGTGTGTGTATGCGTGTATGTATGCGTGCCTACGCATGTGGGTATGCGTGTGTTCAACCTGTGTCGACGGCGCATGCATTGTTATGAGTTGCTTTTCCCTTGGTTCATCAGATGTTTCTCTTCATAAAATTATTACAAGCTTTGTTCTTACTGGCACTAACTCTGTACAGAGAAGCAACAGGTAAGACTACCATTACACAACAGCTTGCATCTACAGGCAACTTCGCTAATAACGACTGCGGATATAACGACAATTCGCGAATAACGACAGAATTTCCATGCCCAGAGCAAAGTCCCATCCCACTGTAATACATATAATAAGACTTCGGGTATAACGACACTTCACGAATAAGGACACTTTTCTGATGCACCGCCGAGTGTCGTTATAAGCGAAGTTGACTGTGACTATGAAAAGAAGAAGGGCAACATGTTACGAGTTATGACTAACTGTCCACCAACGTAACCAGATCTTATACAGTCTTTTCACAATTATTTAATTGGCTCACCATCCGAGTTACATTTTGTCTGCAACTACTGATGATATAGGGAAGGATTTTTTCTCTCTCAAATACCCATTCACTGAATGTTGTTGTTTTCTTTATTTGAATTCGCTAAAACCAAACGGACAGAACTGTCCAGTGACAAGGGAGCGAATGATGAGCGTCATAATCACTATGCATCAAAACATCTCAGAGCAAAATGAGACAGACTATATTAAAGGAGGGTCCGCACAACACAACAGAATGGAGAAATTAATCTTTGTTACTGTAAGACCAGGTAATTTAACGTCAATTAAAAGTCAGCGATCTCCAGATTTTTGTGGGTTGGCGAGGTGAAATTCTAACAAATTCTGTCTCAAAACTGGCAAATGGTTGTACGTATCTATTATTGCACGATTAAAGAGGTCAATATATGAAATATAGAACGAGTAAAAGACCGAGGTCCCCCGAGGTCTTTTACGAGGTCTATATTTCATATATTGACCGATTATGAGGGCAATAATAGATTTATCACGACATAGCATACCTAAAACTGGTTTTGCTTTGCTATAGGAAGAAAGGGATACTATTGTAATAGTATAATAGTATGTACATATGCCGTTTACATTGGACATTACTTCTGTGTAAACCGAAGTTTTCAGTTGTCTCTTGTAGTATGTTCCCCAAGTTCTTTGACTGAGAATCTGACAGTTTGGGTTCAAATCCCAGCATTTGGCTTCAGATTTTTCTTCTTTCAGTTCTAATTTTTTTCTAAGTTGAGGAAAAAGTTCTAAGTCCTCGGGCTAAGTGGTCAATAGAGAGGTTTTGCATTCCGAATTTCGGAATTATTTTCGGAATGTGGCGGCTGCAGTCGAAAAAGTAGTCGAACTTTCGGAAGTGTGGTGGCGAAAGTGCATGGTTTTCCGAAAATGGATTTTCGGCTCTTTCATGTTTGGGAGTGCATATTTCAATACAAAAAAGTGTATTTTTCATGTTTGTATTTTTGCTTTCTGCTGCTCTCGATTATTTGAAAATTTTCCACGTATGTAGTTTTGATTTTTGCTGGTTTTGCTGCTCTCGCTGATCTCGCCATGTTGACTAATCTTCTCACACTCCATCACATTCTATCTTCCTTTGCCATGGAGCCTACTGACAGTACAAGACAGTAGTTCGCCAACCTCGTCTTCAGCTGTTGGATCACTTGGTCCACCATCAGTCCGTCCTCGTCTTCAAACCGCACCCAAATTCAGTTTGACCTGCATGGATTTGATCCTGCTCAACCCCTTCGACGCTCTCCATTTTGTTTTGCATGGCAACCCTTCGAAACGAAGTCGAATAAGATTTTCGGAATGCAAAACACTGAAAATACCGTTTTTCGGAATGCGCTTTTTTCGGAAAAGCACAGTCGAAAATTATTCCGAAATTCGGAATGCAAAACCTCTCTAATAATAAGTGGTCAATAATAAGTGGTCAATATAAGCGGTCAATATATGCTGATATTTGACCGCTTAGAGATCACAAGTTTCTGTGGGGGTCAATAATAAGAGAGTGATAAAGGTACATATCGTTTTCTACATAGCGACTTACACACGGCACAGAGCACCAAGCATCGTTCGTTGTCTTGGTGCTCTGCGCCGTGTGTAAGATAGCTCCATTCGAACCGTTCGGAACGAATATTGAGCACTGAAACGAGCCGGCGGACTCTCATTTGCACATAACGACTTCAAATGTTAACGAAGAAAGAATTTCTTAAATTCGTTGAATCGTTAGAATTAAATGTTCGTTAACATTACTGGTCTTATGCTGACCCTTTCGGGCCTGGTCAGACTGCGACAAAAAACGAAACGGTCCTGTGATTATAATCCGAAGCTCCATAGTAACTTTAGGGTTCACGGATTGGCATGCTAGCGTCGCCAGCTACATCATGCACGTGACAGGCGCGTGCATATACTGTCCCACACAATCGGTCAGTGCTCAAATCGCATTTTCCCATCAATATCACTCACTTTCAACTCTACGGGATTCATTACGGTTGGCTCAAACTGCCTGAATTTTTGAATCCACACGCACGAAAGACGTTCCAAGACTTCCACCGTTCGTATTTTTTCAAACGAGTTCCGGGTTTTCCAGTACCTTTGGCCAAAGTTCGGCTAAAAAAACAGGGGGAGCCGTTGCGTTTCCGTAAAATACTGAACGGTAGAAGGATAGCCAAGGTCGAGAGCAAAACAACAAGCCATTATTTGTCAAAATCGAACAAGAAACGGCTCAGCGCATCTATTTTCCGTGCACGCGCGCGCGCGTACTTTGGCCGACAAGGTGTGGAGAATTTCTGAAGAAGAAGAATAACAAGAGCAGCAGCGCTCGGAACAGCCGTGCTGGATACTTCCAATCCCGACGATGGAGCGTGTTGGCTGTCGTGAGCTGCTGAAACGACCATGACATTTCTTTTTCTTTGTATACCCTAGATATCTTGACGTGCCCTAGCTCAGTTTCGGCCTCTTTACAGGAAGAATATTTTCTTCCATGGCATCAGCGGCCAAACAGCAAGAAGAGCAACAGATCGAGATTTGCAGGGCAAACAAAGGATGCGTGCAGCTACATCTAGTCAGGTTCGATGCAGCTGCGCTTTGCCAGAACCTCAGCAGATAAGAAAAGACGACAGAGTGTCTCAGATGGAGCTGGATCTTTCGCCAAGACCGCCACCGCCGCCATCATCAAGTCCAGGTCAGTCAGAAAAATGCAAAGCCCGAGTGAAGTGAACAGCCACTGAAGCCAAGGAAAAATTCAAAAAGTACGCTCTCCGGCTAGACTTCGAGTCGATATTTTTTTACTTCGATAGGCCCTGTCGCGGCCTGTAGCGCGCGTCCATAATCCAAAATGGAGGCGCACGTGACGGGTGCTTTTAGTGGCAAGCCGTGAACCCTAAACTTGACGCCAGAGCGGCAAAATCGAGAGTTGATGCTCCATAAAAAAAGCAAGAGCAGACCATGCTTTTCCGCGCCAAACAGGAGTTTGACGCTGATACACCATTGACGCTGATATTCATTTATTTTTCATCTCGATATCGAGGAGCTAATTGGCCACGGACAACAACAAAACTCATAAGGATGGTTTCAAGGATTGCACTGAAGGTGGTGGCAATCCCCAAGGTGAAGGAATTTGACGTCGTGCGTGGAGATTACCACTTGACGCTCGAAATGAAGATTGAATTTTCATTCTCCCCACGTAGGGTAGTGTGATCGCGATTCTAATCGTGGACGCTTTTCTTTTTTCGTCAGGCACCGACAATTTGCCGCAGTCTGACCAGGCCCTTACGGGCAGCTCATTTTTGTAAATGAATTCCATCACATTTGGAAGGATGCCAATATCTCCCGACAAAGGCACATTTTGTATGTACAAGTTTAGTTTTCCTGATAGCCTGGTACTACTTGTTGACCTTGGAAAACACTATTTTGCACATACCACACACATACGCTGCTAAATTGGCACCTATAGAGGTTATGCGATAACATCAAATCCGCCATATATAGGAGCCAGTTGGGGTGGCAAAATGTCCAAAGCGGGTACAGAAACTCCTTATATAGAAGAATTTGGGGTGGCAATGACGTGTATCGCATAACCTCTTATTAGGTTATGCGATAATGTCAAATTCGCCATATATAGGAGGCAGTTGGGTGGCAAAATGCACAAAGCGGGTACAGAAACCCCTTATATAGAAGAATTTGGGTTGGCAAACGTACTACTAGTATATGACGTGTATCGCATAACCTCTATACACGGAAACACGGTAATTGTACACATCGAGATTGTCAGAGTTCCGACATGGGATGGTGCTGCCAAAAAAGGTGATTCCGGGGAGGAAACAAACGCCATAGCCATCATAGACTTCGGTGGCCGTGCCTCGCTCGCCATTGAGAGCAGCGTCGTCACAAAAGCGCTGTCAGACGGTTCGGTAAGGTCGCGCACACGCCCCGCTGCGCTGCCGCCACTCAGGCACGTGGAATATCGATGGCCCAAAATTCCGTCTCCGGGAGACTGTCGACACGGAGGTCACTCTCCATGTCTTCCGCACCATCAGTACCCCCAGATTATTCCAGGTACGTCACGACGACATCATCTTTAGCAGCTGGAGCTCCCGATATCTGCGTGCGAATTTACTGGTCGTGCGTGTCGCTCCGCAATTTGAAAGTTTGCTTGCATCGGCGGCTGGAACGAAGTATTTATCAATCTGTCGTAGGTCTCAGAGCGGAGGAGTACTAGGTCCTTGTCAGAGAAGTCATCCAAGGACCTAAGTAACTCACTGCGCAAGAGGAAATGCACCTTACGAAGTTTTGATGGAGGTAGATGACATTGTCGGCGCTCGTGTATTTCCGTAAGTTTTCGATCGCGCAGTTCTCAATGAAATCAAAATGGGACCCGCATCGATTTCTTCAGCTACAGAGAATATCGTACCTAAGCTGTGTGCGGGGCACAGGAAATTCAGAACATTCAGAGAATTTGTTGTTCTGTTTTCAAAGTAGACTACAGTAGGTATCGGCAAGAGTACATAAACCAGAGTGTGCAACTGTGCATATCAGATCTGAAACAGCGCAGTTCGTGCACTACGTCACCCTGATGAGGTCAGCCAAGCCGCGACTTGCGTACAGCTCAAATTATCATGTTTCATAGCCCGGAAATCAGCCAAGTTTGCTTGATTTTAGACGTCCAGTTTCAGGATTTCGGTGTTTTGTGTGACTGTGTACGCTGCGTACATCCACCGACAAGTAAAGTCACCAGGGTTTCCGTATCAAAAAACCGAAATCAGGACAAACTCAGTGACCTGCACCACCGCGACTGGTTACGCAACTTTTCACCGTACCTGTGGCTTACCATGCTGTCAGAAATGACGTAGTGCACGAATTACGCTCCCACAGGAACCATCCCGAGTTGCACACTCTGGTTTATGTACTCTTGGCATCGGTTATAGCCGCAGGTGTTTGAAAAACGACATTTGATTCTTATTGCCGATATTTCTTACACACGATAAATCACGTGTGACATTATCATATGCGCGCACGTTTGGCATGTGGACACGTACACATGATACACACGGGGTACGGATCAATCAGACTCGCGGTCGTGCTAGGCGACTGCGGAGCAGCGGATACGAGAGAAGTCGGAAGAAAGAGTCCGACTGGACAGAAAAAGTGATTCTCCAATGCTCCCTTGGACATAACTTTCTCTTTTTGTGTTGAATATTATTGCATTGAGTATCAGGGATTGATTTACTTTGATTTTTTGCATAGCAGTCACTGCTACACAGTTTTACAATTGACTAGCAACTCCCAGTATTGATTAGCAGTTTTCCTTCATCAAAAGTTTACATGTATAGCTGTACAATAGCAGGATTTCCTACAGAAGAGGACAATAGCTGCAGTTGCTATTTGCTTTTCCAAGCGAATGTTCAATCTGAATATTTACGTTAGAGTTTTCACTTGGGCACGTTACATGTTCAGCGTCTATCCGACTTCGAGTTCTTCACAACACAATGTCCTTCAACAGGGCAGTTCCACTGATTCCTTCGACAAAGAAACCTCAGGAAAGCGCTCAAACGATCGTGACATTTCGTGCAAAGCGCATCGAATTTCGCTTTTCTCCTTTTCTTTATCGAAACGAATCGACATTCCTGGCGCGTCCAGTTCTTTGTCCCTCTTCTGGACAGTGGATCACTGATCAGATTCACTGACATGTTGGCTACATGAGACTAAGAACCGTCTACTTCAACTGTGCCTTGTCGAACAGAAACAAACTGAGCTTGAAAGTGAAAGAAGAAAGGAGAACATCAGGAAAAGTCACCGCCGTGTACAAAACTTCAGAAGACTGCAGTCGTGTACGACCAGTGCTAGTGCAGTGTCCAAAATCGAAAGAGCGCGATTGAGCAGGACAGGCCAGTTGGTTGGAGTAGTAAATACTACTCCCTAGTCAGCAGTGTGTACAACAGTCGCATGTAGACTGCACACAAATGGTCTTTGTAGTGCATCGCAGTTTTGGGCGATAAAAAACGAAAAGCGAATCGCAGCCAGTGAATTTTGATTCGCAAACTGCGATGCGAACCCGGATAAATCGATCCCTGAGTATGCACAGAGCACAGATGTTATTACTACAGGCGATACACTTTGTACTAATCTGGCATATTTTGCTACACAAAATCCATTCTTAGGGCCGATATATTCTACTATGCGATAATAATGCTTGTAAGAATAAACATACACATAAAATATGTGTTATGATTATGAAAAAATGAGTGTTCATTCTTGTAAGCAGTATATTCTTGTATACGACCACACTATAACCGATACGCACTGTACTTGTTTGTCATTATGCCCTCCTTTGTTTTCCTATATTTTTACATCTTCTCTTCTCTTCTCTTCCCTTCCCTTCTCTTCTCTTCTCTTCTTTTCTCTTCTCTCCTCTTCTTCAGCGCTGAATTTCAGCCATGTGACAACATTTGAAAGCGGATTCGACGGTTGGACACAGGACCCAAGGGGTGATTTTAACTGGACTTTAGACCAGGCTGGTACAGAAACGTTCTATACCGGACCCGCTGTCGACCACACGTTTAAGAATAATTCAGGTACGGACTACGACATCAGCGCATGGAATCGCGCAGAATGTACTCCACCTGCAATGCTTCCTTCACCGGGTTATTCATTCCTGTAAACTGCATGCAACATGTAGCTAGGGTGTGGAAGGGAATGATCAGGATTAGGATCATGGCCAAGCATAGATAGGCGATTTGCCTTTGGGTCATCCTAATAAAGTTATTATTATTATTATAGCACCAAGCGCAGTTTTAGAAACCATGCCTAACTTCAGTACAATTTGTTTTTGCTGCGCTCTATAATTTCCTCGCTAATGGTTTCTGTTTCAAATCTTTATTCTTACAATCAACAGTAGCCAATTAAGAGGCAACAGTTTGAAAGATGAGAAATAGCGAGGAAGAATTGGGTGACCGCAATCAATAAGACAAACTGAATCAACATTTGTGTACACTTTATTCATGCAATGTAAAACGGTGGAGGCAATGTACAATAAAGCCAAGAAAATAGGAAGAACTAGTGTAGAGAAAATTAGGATTCAAAAATTTTTTTGTACTACAATCATCAAGAATTGTCATTGTACTAAAGGACACTGAAAAAATTGAACTACAGTCGTCCCTCTCTAATCCGGCACTTTATAATCCAGCACCCTCGATAAACCAGCACAATTTTCAGTAGCCAAAATGTCCTCTTCATGCACATTGCAGCAGTAAATCAGATTTGTTAATCCAGCACCCTCCCTAATCCAGCAGATTTTCGTGGCACAAATGGTGCCGGATTATAGAGGGACCACTGTATTATAGAAAATCTAAGCAGGAGAAATAACACCAAGAACAACAGCAGTGAAATTTACAAATGTGAATTTTAACAATGAAAGCGAGCGCAATAACGAATGTGTGTGCTAACAATAAACTTGCAAATGAAAAATGAACAAACAAAAGAAAGAAAGAAGGAAGGACAAAGTGATAACACATAACAGCAGTACATTTCACCTAGGCCAAGCTTGGCCACACCAAACATGACACGTTACTTGATCAATTTCAACCCAACTATACTATCTTTCTGTACACACAAATTAGGCTTGTACAAACGCTGATAAATGGCTTCCAAAACTTTTAATTGTAGTCCATTTGAAGAGAGTAGGGACCTTTCGCATTTGCTACGAATCGAATGCGAAACGAAAGTTTGATTCGGCTCGTAATCGTTTCGTTGAAAACAGAATTCAGGTTTCGCAAGTCGTAATGCAAATGTGCATGGCAACTACGAATACGGCCGGTAGCTTGGCGTACGGGTGTGTTCGCGCACACGTGCATGGATCATGGAATCAAGGGAAAAAATGTGTACCTTGCAAAAAAATGTATACCTGACGGATTCGGAGCGTGCCACGAATGTTGTGAAACGACAAGTTCTCGAGAGTGAAAGGCCTTCTCGCTTGTGACATTGTGTTCGTTTCAATGCCGCTGTATGCCGACTCCGCCGTACCGCTGATGATTACGACGTAGTATACGCTACATGCGCTATGTGCGGTTTGCTGTGTGCGCTGTAGTTGTATGTTGTATGTGTATGCTTTTCTCATATACGCTGTCATTTTCACGCTATAACTACCTGGTGGTTTTAGTGTTAGTTATTCAGTTCATTCAGTTGTTCATTCATTTCATTGTTGTTAGTCGATGGAAGTGAAAGATATTGTTGAGAATAAATAGTTGTCCTCGTGCTGTGTGGGGTCGTTCGTTCCTGATACTTTAGAGAACCAGAGGGTTCACAACATTTGGCGACCACGCCAGGATACGAAGCGAGCATGGCACAGGAACTATGGATCATCGAAGCCAGCTTTATCGCCAACAGAATTCGGTATGGATTTGAAGGCGATAGGTTGAGAGAATACGTGGAGAAGAGGCTCCGACAGAGCGAGGAGTTTGAAGAGCGCAGTGCTAGACGGCAAGAGTGTGCGCTCCGCGCAGAGTTTAACGAAAAGCTCAAGAAGATGGCCGAGCGCATCGCCGTCAGTACATATTATGAGGAAGCAAAGCGAGATTTGCTTGCCTCGCCCAGAAGGACGCCGGACAAGGCGTGTAAGACTTTGCTTACAGACAAGCAGCGGTCAGAAGAGTATTCGAAGCCAGTGGGAGGATCAGATCCGAGGCCCACTGGGTCGGTACAGTGCATGGCGACATCGGTCGGAGACGCTCAGAAGCAGCTGAAGTCTCGGCCGAAAGAGTTGGAGGCGCAAGAGTTGGAGGCGCAAGAGTTGGAGGCGCAAGAGTTGGAGGCGCAAGAGTTGGAGGCGCAAGAGTTGGAGGCGCAAGAGTTGGAGGCGCAAGAGTTGGAGGCGCAAGAGTTAGAGGCGCAAGACTTAGAAACGCTAGGCGTAGTAGCCGAGAAAATGAGAAGGGCGATACTACTGGTTAGCACGGAAGAAGTAAGCGGCGAGACTGTGTGGAACACAGAGATCCGATGTGTGTCCTCGGATTTCGCGCCCGCCCCGGGTCGAAGCAGTGTACCGGTGACCATGTCGTGTGTGACAGCCCACCTCGTCGAGCTTTATGACATTATCGGTGGTGTGTTGTCTGGTCCAGCGTCTGCCCCATGTCGATGTGGATCGGTGACAGTGTGGTGTGCGACAGTCCAAAGCGGCAAGCTTCGCGATGTCGAGTTTTCTGAATTGGTGGGCATTAGTGATATTCTACCATGGCCACCACCGCAGCAGCAGATGACGCGTAGTAAGCCCCAAATCGTTTGACTTGTGAGTTGTTGTACGGCGGTGAGAAGCCCTTTGGTGGGGAGAATGTTGTGAAACGACAAGTTCTCGAGAGTGAAAGGCCTTCTCGCTTGTGACATTGTGTTCGTTTCAATGCCGCTGTATGCCGACTCCGCCGTACCGCTGATGATTACGAGATTTACGACGTAGTATACGCTACATGCGCTATGTGCGGTTTGCTGTGTGCGCTGTAGTTGTATGTTGTATGTGTATGCTTTTCTCATATACGCTGTCATTTTCACGCTATAACTACCTGGTGGTTTTAGTGTTAGTTATTCAGTTCATTCAGTTGTTCATTCATTTCATTGTTGTTAGTCGATGGAAGTGAAAGATATTGTTGAGAATAAATAGTTGTCCTCGTGCCGTGTGGGGTCGTTCGTTCCTGATACTTTAGAGAACCAGAGGGTTCACAACAACGAATGAAGAGGCTTCCATTCGTGAAAACGAGCTCTCCGCGGCGACTCTGACGAATCCTCGACCCCAGGTGACGAATCAGCATTCGTTTCGTATCCGTACGCGTGGTGCGAAAGGTCCCTACTATGAGAAAGGGATGTCGCGAAGTTGGATAGCAAAACAATTAAAAGAATGAAGAGCCTTGTACAGGGGAGAATGGAGACTGTGATCAGTCCTCGGAGTTGGCGAGTTATTAGCGAAGTTGACTGTATGTTTAACTTTAAAGTGTGATGATAACTTTGGCCATTTGATGCGATGCAAAAGGTGGGAGTGTTCTAAGTGTGTTTATCACTCTCTTAATATTGACTCCCATAGATATTCGCTATACCTAAGCAATCAAGTATTCCTGCATTTTTCACTCCTTAGGGCTATATTGACTGCTTATGGGCTGCACAGTTGAACGGTGCCTAGTGCAGCATGGTCACTGTATGAGTAGGTGATGGTGCAACGGTTGTGCAATCATAAAACCGGGATTCATGAGGATATCGTTCTGGAATTTGAAATACGGACTGTTTGTCGTGTTAAATCTAATATTGACTTTGTACTTGGTCAGTGTAGGAAATAAAAATCTCGTAAAAGACCTCGTCTTCGCCTCGGTCTTTTACTCGGCTTTTATTTCATATATATTGACCTCGTACTCAGTCAATATTAGATCCGTAAAGGGGGAGGTGGAGACATATTCTGGCGGCTTTCCGAATTATAGCAGTTATTGGAGAGGAGCGAGAAAAACTGCCATGGACATTTAGCACAGCAGGCAGATCAATATAAAATTCATCCGCTAACCTCATGCCCAGGCAGGGCGCCATCATTTCCGCCTCTATCTCTGAAATTAAAGGTGTTTTGTCTGCCAAATTGATTTTTTACTCAAGACCTCCCTCCATTGCAGCCAAAATGCAAGCCACTTTGGAAGTCCACAACAAAGCATTCTCAATAAGCCTTTTGCGCATTGCCAAACACGGCAGACAGGAGTAACGCTTGTGAGTGAGCTGGGATCGGCAATGCGGCTGTCTGGGGTGTTGCACATGCACATTAGGTCATAGGGCAATATATGCAATGGTCTTATGATTATAATTATATGTTTGATTTGGTGAATTCAATCCTCATCCATGGAGCTTGAGTAGGTTTACAAAAATTGTTCTGCGGGATCATTGTCGTTTTCTTTGTCGCCATTTTCCATTGGTGCTAACAGTGCAGTGAAACCTGTCTAAGACGACCGCTCAACGGACCTTCAAAATCTGGTCTCTGTTACCAGGTGGTCTCCTTATCCAGGGTCAATTGACTGGAAATAGCATCCCTTGATCCTGGTTTCAGTGGTCTTGTGGGACAGGTGGTCGCCTTATCCGAGTGGTCGCATTGACAGGTTTTACTGTACTTGTTTCCTGTATGCCTATAATGCAGGTAAATACCTATACATCGAGGCGGACGGCCGCTCAAAGGGAGATTTTGCCATACTATCATCACCACTGATCGAGAGTGCACTCGCTACTTGCCAGGTACGGGAGTTCAGCCATTTTCTGCTTGTCCTGCATAGTGTGCGTCCTGAGTGGGTTGTGAGCAGCGTTTTTCTCACTCAGTTACCGAAATTCGGAAACTCTTTTCAGAAAAAATGCAACGAAAGGTATTGTGAATTATATAGTTATCATCAAGAGTCCATAACCCCAGAGTGTGCAACGCCACATAAATGTCTGTCACGACTCGTTCTCAACATTACGTCATTTTCATGTAGCTGTGTGTGCAGGCCGCGACATTCGCTACAAGAAAATGTACATGAAAATGACGAAATGTTGAAAACGAGTCGTGACAAGAGTCACAAGACCCTGTCGCGCGTTGCACACTCTTGGTTATGGACTCTTGTTATCATGATATGGGTTCTAGCCAGGTCCATATTAGTAGCATGATCTGGGTTCTAGCCAGGTCCATATTAGTAGCATGATCTGGGTTCTAGCCAGGTCCATATTAGTAGCATGATCTGGGTTCTAGCCAGGTCCATATTAGGGTGGGGCATGGGAAAGTTACCCAGTAACCGATTTTGCATATTCAAAAGTTGTCTTGCCTTGCAAAATGCAACGCTCGGAGCGAACCCCCGACGTCAGGGGAAACAGTTACCTCTTCGCCCTTTACCGTTGAATTAAGAGAGCATGTCCGAGAAAACCAGAATATTTGTGCAAGTCGATCTTTCCGATTTCGCTTAAATTTGTACCTACACGGCCGGAGAGTTCCCCGCCGCAGTCTGCCGTTCCGCCTCTGACATCGGTGTTGGACGGGCTTGAAATTTTTTGTGGTGAAGATCAACTCTGCAAAGCCAGCGGAAATGTTTCTGAAGGGAATCAGTTAGTCCGATTAACCGGTTTAATTAACCCTTTACCGGTCTATCATAAGCGAACCGATACTATAGTATCGGTACGTTTGGCCCTCAGTTTTTTGGGGTCTTGTTGCTAGGAGACAGCTAAAATGGCGCTCTACGCGTAGCTGAGGTCCAAGGCTTTCTGACGATGTACAAAACAACCATGCTTACCATACAGTTTTTTGCCGTATAGATCGACTGAAGTTTGTTGAAATTGGAAAAGAGGACCATCCGCCGTGCGTGCATTTCGAGAATGCGAGTGCATCTCTTGGGGCCGTATTTGACAAGCTTTCTGAGAGCAGTAACACCACCAGTCCAGCCTGGATCTCCCGGGAGGTTTTGCAGTGTAGTGTGTTGAGAAAAAAAGCTCCGTTGAGTCCTGCTAGTTCAAAAATATATTGTCCACGAATGAAGAAACAAAATTCTCCAAACAGAGAGGAAGCCTTCTTGCTGCCGACACGGCAACAGCGACTGTCACAAGGACTCGTCAGGTGCGATCAGCTGATTCGCCTGGCCGTGAGAATCACGGCATGCGTAAGCTTGCGCCTGAGTGCTCATCTGAGCGAGAGTGAATCTGACGCGAGCAGCGCTGAGATGAACAAACCGAAGCTGCGATATCGTGGAATGGAAATTGCTGCTGCTGGCGTATCGCCGATGGTGAGGTGTTGGTGTTCAATGGCGGTATTGTAGAGAGCCTACATTTCTTGTAGAAACGTAGCCCATACCTGATTGTTTATCGTACGACTTCAGCTCCATTACGAACTTGGTATGCCCTTTGTGCTGTGATATTCGTGTATTTCATTCGCAATTGTATTTTCTCTCAACTTGAAGGGCTACCATTGGCCCTATCCTTGCCTGGACCTAGTCATATTTGAATTTTCTGGCCGCGTTCAGGCATACAGATTTTGAAAATTATATGGTTTACCCATACCTACATCACATGGTTCTTGAGTTATTGCTGGTTGTGGGTACATGTATTTGCGTGACCACCCCTCACATACATTGAGTTAGTCCGGCTTAAGGCCGGTTTTGAAAAGATAACAGTTAACCGTTTTGTGAAAAGGTTGCGCTGGTACTTTTTTGACATTTCGAAGTACTTATTTTACCGAGTTTTGGCAGTTTTACAACCTATCGCGTATATACACATATACACGCGTATAAATGTTCCCTACTTTATGCCATCAGTGAGAATTTGAATCAACGTCATGCCATCTTACAGTGCTTCTGGTCTCTGAGTATGCGTGAATGAGTTTGCAGACAATATCATGTATTATTAGTAATACCGCACGGTACATTTTCCAACGAGTACAGTAAACTATTATTGTTTAGATTTTTGGTTGGAGGAAAGCAAATCAGCATACGAAGCACAGAAGCCATAATTTCGACTAGGCCTTTCGTGCCATTACTCTTATAAGAACTTGCTTGCTACCTTGTTAATCACCATTGGATTCAACTTGAAGGGTAATGGTACGAAAGGCCTATTATGGCTTCTGTGCTTCATGTGCTGAACTATATTGTTCAAACTAGCTTCTTGCTGGACCGCCGCAGCTTATAGGTTATAACCGATAAACCATCCGTTAGCGTTAGCGAGAGGACTTACATCCGTTTTAGCAGAATGCCCTGTATTATGCACTGCTCCTTTGCAGCTGGCACAGTATCATTGTTCGGTTACCTGATGATGGCCATGTGCCGAAACGTTGCTTGACCCTTTACTGTCAGATTAAAATGTATAAATGCCCACGCAACCACAAAATCTGAAACTAGATTTAGACGTAACTTTGGTTTGAATTTGACAATTTCCACAATCTTGAGCATCCTGGAAAGTTCTTGACGAGACAAACGCAATGAGCCCACACTTGGCGCCACAGGATGCATTGGTCCAGCGCTGCAAGCCAGGGAACGCGCACCAGCGCTGAGCTCACGCTCGAGATCAATCTCAATCCACCATGTCTCCCCTGTTGCTCGAATCGAGCTCAAATATTTTCGTAGAGACTCCCGGGAACCTACTTTTGAATTTGAATCGGTGTAGCCTTGCCAACAGGTGACGTAAACAGGAAAAATCCCAGCCGTCGACATGCACATTGCGCTCTGAACGCATATTTCCAGGGACGAGAATTACGAGTGTGATAACTCAGCAACCGCTCTTTGTATCGCTTCGGGAATTGTTCGAGGCGACAGCTGAGACTTTTCTCTTCGACCTACATAATTTGATCTCTCCAAAATTTGAGCAAGTTACGATAATTTCAAAATGCCTACCCCATCAATCTCATTGGATCGATGCTTGTATGTACGGACAGTAAAGGGGTTAATAATGGAATTGGTTCAGATTTGCAGTGAGACTGGAATGGGTGTGTCCACCCAAACTTCTTTTCTATGTTGAAGCTGCAGGAAGCCTCAAGTCTTCTTTTGACTGTGCAATCAAGTCATTTCAAATGTCCATTCAGCCCGTCTTTTAGTTCGCAATTTTGGAACTGTTTTCGCCTCGTTTTATTTATATATTTCCAAACAAGGTACACCCAGAATCAGATAGTTTTGCTGAAGTCCGAGCTGAAGACCCTTTTACTGTCGTACAGTCGCCTACATTATTTTATGATTGAAGCGCTGTCTGTCGTTTCTACACATTATTTTCACATTTTTGCCATTTTCGTCCTTCCATTGGATAAATGGTTGGTTGGTTGGTTGGATTTATTTAAAGTCAAACCAACAAACAGGCATATCTGCCTCCTTATATGAAGACGACTTCTGGCAGTAAAACATTTTAAAGAAACGAGAAAGGAAAAAAAAAAAGAAAAAAGAAGAAGAAGAAGAAGAAGAAGAAGAAGAAGAAGAAGAAGAAGAAGAAGAAGAAGAAGAAGAAGAAGAAGAAGAAGAAGAAGAAGAAGAGAAGATCAAGAATGCATCCTGAGCATACAGCTAGCCGGAGACTGAGCACAGCTAGCCTCGGCATGCATCAGAGCATCAGGATTACTACATACTACTAGTACTATACTCAAGATAGGGGAGGGGGGTTGCTGTCATGCTACAGTAAGACAATACGCATGCAACACACACCCTTGAACTGGAAGGGGGACGTGATGTTTCTCGCATCAGGTGGAAGACTGTTCCAAACGCGTGCAGCAGAAAGAGACACGGGATGAGTTCTGGATGGAAGCTGCAGCAGATGTTGTTGGGAGCCGCGCGTTTGGCCAGCCCTAGTCGGAGTGACGAAATCTCCAAATAATGCGCTGATCAGCGGCTGCTCCATGGTGGAATGTAGGCACCGGTAGACCAGCGAGCACACTGTTTCACGCAAGAGCTGGTGTACACGAAGCAGGTTGTGTTCCGCATACACGGGAGTCATACGGGTACGGGAGGTAAGGTTGTATACGGCTCGCAGGGCTAGGTTGCATAGGCGTTTAAGTCTCTCTTCATTAGCTTTGGAGAGAGAGCTAAAGAAAGCTGAGCATCCATAGCGTACGGGGACTGTGTGTTGTTGTTCCAAATTTGGAGAAGGCAGGTCCGATCATCAAGTATATTCCCTAGCTTGTCCTAAGGCGAAGAAAACATAATAAAATTGATTCGGTTGCGGCTGGGTATGCAAAATTCGACACCTGCATAAAACTGCAGCAAACTGGTGAAAAAATTCATGCATAGAAAAAGTTAAAGGGGAAGTATACCCTAAAATCAAATTTTCACCAGTTGTAGTCTTCGGGGTGCTGAGTCGAATGGTCTTGGTCCGAGGAAGCTGAGACGCTCCCTTCCTCCTTTATTCCCAATCGAACTCGCGCACTTCCACCGAAACTGGGTGACTGCGCCCTACTAGATGGGGATTTGTATGCAAAATGTCACTAAAAGTGCCATTTCGTTCTTGTAAAAGCACGGGTGACCGCCATTGGCCCATATGTTGTAGTCTTTTGGACGCTGAGTCGACTGGTTTTGGTCCGAAAAGGCTGCGATGCAGCGTTCCTCCTTTATTCCCAATCGAACATGGTTGAACAAGCGGTCACGTGCTCCTGCATACACCAGTCACCTAGTCACCGTGCCTGCAGGGTACAACTTACTAGCCTGTGTGACCTTTTTTGGGTGCAGTCCTGTCACTCGAGTTGAACTCGAGTTGAACCTTGGTGTGAAAGTTGTCGCCTGCTGGCGCGGTGACCAGGTGATTTTGGCACCCAGGAGCATGTGCCCGCTTCTTCAACCATGTTCGATTGGGAATAAAGGAGGAACGCTGCATCGCAGCCTTTTCGGACCAAAACCAGTCGACTCAGCGTCCAAAAGACTACAACATATGGGCCAATCGCCGTCATCCGTGCTTTTATAAGAACGACATAGCACTTTTAGTGAGATTTTGCATACAAATCCCCATCTAGTAGGGCGCAGTCACCCAGTTTCGGTGGAAGTGCGCGGGTTCGATTGGGAAAAAAGAAGGAAGGGAGCGTCGCAGCTTCCTCGGACCAAGACCATTCGACTCAGCACCCAGAAGACTACAACTGGTGAAAATTTGATTTTTAGGGTATACTTCCCCTTTAAGCCTGCTAAATATGCCGAATCAAGAGATGTATTCTATTACAAGGCAAGTTCACATGCAACCATGCAATTGACGCATCCAGTCCAGAACACACTTCACATGAGATATCAAACGTTTTCGTTCCCTTCTCTTCAGGATTGTGTGGATGCATTCCAACTTGATTTGTATTACTCTATAAGTACAAATTTTCGTTTGGAAGTAACTTTCGCTATATTCGTTAGGGGGCACGAAATAACTAAAGTTTGTACCAACCTATTTTTTTCTTCTGAACATTCGGGTTGACAGACCTCCAAATGTTTTTCGCCTCCGACCTCCGTTCTAACCAAGAGATGTTTGTATATTTCCGCATGTGTGTATGTGTATGCATGTGTGTGTGTGTATGTGTGTGTGTGTGTGTGTGTGTGTTTGTGTGTGTGGGTGTATGTGTATGTGTGCGTGCGTTTGTGTGTGTGGATGCATGTGTATGTGTGTGTGTTTCTGTGTGTGTGTGTGTTTCTGTGTGTGTGTGTGTGTGTGTGTGTGTGTGTGTGTGTGTGTGTGTGTGTGTGTGTGCGCGTGTGTGTACGACATTAAATTTTTATGTATGAAATTTATGTTTTGTGTGTGGGTGTATGTGTATGTGTGTGTATGTGTGCGTGCGTACGTTTGTGTGTGTGTATGCGTGTGTGTTTGTGTTTGTGTGTGTGTGTGTGTGTGTGTGTGTGTGTGTGCGTGTGTGTGTGTGTGTGTGTGTGTGAATGTGTGTGTGTGTGTGTATGCATATGTGTATGAAATTGATGTCTCCACTTCTCTATTATGTTGTATATAGCTGTCGTTCTGGTTTCACATGTACGGACGAGGTATTGACAAACTGGAAGTATTCGTCGATGTAAGCCTCTCTGGTTCAGTGATAAAAACGCAGTGGAAAGGATGTGTATAAATATTGGTGATGAGCATGATCGTGTTCGACCTTGTTCACTCCCATCAGAAGAGCTATGAGTCACGGGATCGAAAGCGCTAGACAGCTATCTGTCAATCTATCTCTGCTCAGAAAGCGACATAATCACTATGCTTTTGTAGTTTTTTAAAAGAGAGCATGTGTGAGAAAATCAGACAATGTGTGCAAGTCGCAGAAAATTGATCGAAAAATCACATGATCTAGGGGTGTGGTAACGAGCCACGCCACAGCGTACACGGAAAACTCCATCAGGCCTACACTGCCTCACCTTAGAAGAGTTCCTGGGGCAGCACTGCTTAGCCACGCCGGCATCCCAGAAGACGAGGGCCATCACCCCCTGACGCCACAAGTGATCGTCTTGAAATAGCCAATTTACAAGCACTGATAACACACCCACCTACATTCGCAATAAGCAAGAGCTATACATTGGCAGATAGTAGAACTCTTCTTCTAGCTCTTCTAGCATTAAGGAAATGTCCTCCATCATTCTTTTCCGGTTTTCTTGAAATACACAGTTTGAATTTTTCCATTCTATCATACTAAAATACATCCAAACGCATATATAACAGGGGCGTCTGACACGGTACGGTCACTACGGTATTGACCGTTCCACTATTTGCCCCGAGTACCCTGTGAATTAATAAAATTTGGGCTCTAAATTCCCAAAATGTTCGGATCAGCCAGCCCCCCCCCCATGAGTTAATTGTACTTCAGATGGCTGACCGTACCACAATAAAATACCTTCCGACGTTGCCCCTGTATAAGCCGGGGTTCAAACCATGATTCTATTTTAAACATGCTTCTACGTCAACATCACCAGTCTGCACTGCACAGTGTACACTGTGCAGTCACGGTACACTGCCACGCAGTCTGCACTGTGCAGTGTACACTGCCACGCAGTCTGCACTGCACAGTGCAGTCTGCACTGTGCAGTGTACACTGTGCAGTGTACACTGTGCAGTCTGCACTGTGCAGTGTACACTGTGCAGTCTGCACTGCGCAGTCTGCACTGCGCAGTCTGCACTGCGCAGTCTGCACTGTGCAGTGTACACTGTGCAGTCTGCACTGCCACGCAGTCTGCACTGTACAGTCTGCACTGTGCAGTGTACACTGTGCAGTGTACACTGTGCAGTCTGCACTGCCACGCAGTCTGCACTGTACAGTCTGCACTGTGCAGTGTACACTGTGCAGTCTACACTGTGCAGTCTGCACTGTGCAGTCTGCACTGTGCAGTCTGCACTGTGCAGTCTGCACTGTGCAGTCTGCACTGTGCAGTGTACACTGCCACGCATGTACGTGTACATGTACTTTGCAGGGAGCGGATTCTATTCAAATCGCGCTTCTGTGTCATGGCACGCTTCAAAAATTCGGCTTCTATTCGAGTCATGCTTCTATGCTGGTGATGCTTTTATACGCGACAAATACAGTGCCTGCGCCAGAAAGCTCGCCCCTCGGCGACATCTAGTCCGCGATTTCTTATGCACCAGTGATCCCAATGCTGCAGAAAAAAGTGTTTTGTTCACTCTGACCAGGAAAAGCGGCGGTGAACAATTGTCACTCCTAACGACAAGCTTCTCTTTGCACTAGCAACATGTTTCACATCACGCAAGCGAAAAAAACATTGAGCACTCTATTCATCCTTGCATCCAATCATCCATCCATCCATCCATCCATCCATCCATCCGTCCATCCGTCCATCTGTCCATCCGTCCATCCGTCCATCCGTCCATCCGTCCATCCGTCCATCCATCCATCCATCCATCCATCCGTTCATCCATCCATCCATCCATCCATCCATGAATCCTCCTGTCCTTCCATTTCTCCTTCTGTCAGTCCAACCAACCATCTTTCGTTTCTTGTTGTTGTTCTTTGTCTTTGATTTTACGGTCGGTAATGAAGCATTTGTCGTCAACGTTTCCCTACGTGGAGATTCTTGGAAGTATATATGGTAATCAGTTTTATAATTGGGATGAGCGGATAGTCCGTTTGAACGTTCGCCAGACAGATGTCATCAAGAATGTCAAGGTAGGCCATGGCATTTGTTTGGATGTTTCTTGATAGGCTTGCAATGGATAGGGGTTTGGCCGGGTGACAAGTTTGGGTATTTCTATCCGGGTAGCACGGGTACCCTATCGGGTATTCGGGTATTTTTTCTCTCTCTCTCTCCCACTCCTCTGAATGGCGGTCTTTCTCTGGCGTTCTTCTCTGGCGTTCTTTTTATTGTTGCATTTGCCTTGTGGTTTTATTTTGCAGGTATTGTTGAGAGCAACTAGAGGATCTAATGAAGAAGGCGACATTGCAATCGATGATATAAGCTGGCAGAATTGCGAAGGTACAATTACGTAATGTTCCCACATCTAATCTGTGCTTCAATCATTATGTCATATTTGGGACAGTGTGTGTGTGGGGGGGGGGGGGGGGCAGGGGTAGCCCAGGCCAAAGTTTGTCATTGAGGCAAAAGATGCAAGATAGAACCCCAATCGGCCAAAGTTTGATCACGGCCAAACGTTTCATTTCAAGATCGGCCAAAGTTTCTCACCAGCCAAAATTTGTTGATTTGCAGTAACTCTGCCGTCATCACCATGCATCTACGAAGTTTAACGTTTTCCAGAATCGATTTTCTCGTCACTGTCATATGTGGATTAGTGTGACTGAAGTGAAGGCAAGCCAAGCAAAAAAACTGTGATTTGAGAAGCACGCAACACAAATGGTAAGTAGGCGGCACAAAAGACTTCACTTCAGTCACAATTATTCACTGATGATAGAAATCGAGTCTGGAAAACATTTGACTTCGTCGATGCATGGTGATCACGGCAGAGGTAGTTATATTTATTGCTTTATTAAAGTTGTTGTCTCCGCGGCGTTTATTCATGCAGCTTTTTAACGTTTATTAGCTCAACATCCCATTAGCTGCATCCATGTTACCGCTTTAGGAGCTGCATCTGCGCCTTGATCCTAGAGGGTGGTGGCATTCCCACAGCGGATGTGGAAAACTCGGCTTCCAGCCAAGTCGCAGGCGAACCGTGAACTTTTTAAATTATATTTTAACTCCACATCGCATCCATGTACCCCTTGTGCCTGGCCACAAGTTCCCAGTTGACTGTGGGTAGCAGCACGGCTGGAAAAACCGCTCCCAGGCAGGGCTTGAGCCAGGTTGCCCCTGCTTGTTTTTCATGATCCATTGCGTCTTGCCTCCCCAGTTAATTTCCATCTAGCTGTTTCTGGCTAGTATCAGTTCTATCACACTTATCATCTTCAATAGTAGAACTGGTTTATGCAGTTGTAGCCGGAGACGAATAACCTGATACTGCCAATCTTTTTTTTCTGCACTTTGTCTCCTCCGTGCTTCTCTTGCGACGGGCGTATACATGGTACATGGTACATGGTACATGGTGTGTGAGTGCGCGCATGTGAGTGTCTGCTTTTCATATTCTGTTCTGCACATTTTCCTGTATTTGCATGGACAACATTTACATCTGCACTGCTTGGCACAGATCCTGGAGGTAAGTGTATCCCGATATTTAGCATATCTTGAAGATGTAGATGTAAAGTTGTCACTCCTTAGGAAGATTCTCCCACCAGTGTTGTGGTACGTGTGGTGATCTGGAGCTGGATCTGCACCAATTCCTCCCAGATTTAGGGGATTTCAGGGCGTGTCTAAAGTTGGGTGGTTCAATAGACAATTAAGTCATCTCTCAAATTGTCATTTTGCGTGGTGATATCGGCGGCATTCATACTTTTCATAGCTATTATTAAGTCATCTTTCCTTTGTTTTGTATCTTTGTCCCCTCATCCCGGGAGACCCACATGACCAGTTTTGGCTGTGAGCAACAAGTACAAGTACAGGTGTGTCTGTGTGCATCATTTAAGTCTGCGTTGCCTATTGTGTTCTGTGCATTTTTTCCTGTTTTTGGCATGGACAACGTTCACATCAGTTCCGCTTGCCACAGATCCTGCTCCTCCTCCGGGCGCAGGTAAGTTTATCTGCATATTTAGAATATGAACCCCAGCCTGCAGAATCCTGAGCACTAGTATGTGTAATTTTTCAAAAAATATTGTTCCGCCCAGAATTGATTCTACTCTATTGAACATTCGTATAGTTTTAAACTCGGATAATGAGCCAGCATTAAAAGTAAAAATGGAAAAAGAAAACACGAGGCAAAGAGTTATGAAGCGACTGGCCACGACTGTGACACGATAATAAGCAGTCAGAACTTGGGTGGGTCAGCAATGTCAGAGATAAAGGAAGGGGGGGGGACTTTGGGAAATAAATTGTGAGAAAACGCACGCCAATATCTAACGGTGCTCCTCGTGCTTGACACTATTGTTGACTACTTGGCTACAATAATAAGTAGTTTCACACGATGTATGTTTCGTCATATTGTTAGTAGCGACTTATCAGTTGTGGAAAATTGAACTTGGATCATGGGCCAAAATTTATAAAAGCATACTCTTCCGGGTAACTCTGTTAATCGAATAGCAAAGATCATCTTCAATAGTAGAAATGGTTTATGCAGTTGTAACCGGGGACGAATAGCCTGATACTGCCAGTCCTTTTTCTGCACTTTGTCTCCTCACATTCTTACAGTGGCATAGTGAGCCCATAAGCTGAATCATTACCAATCCTTCCCAGATTTTGGACATTTCAGGGTGTGTCGGCAGATGAAAGGTTTAATAGACAATTTTAAAGTCATCTTCTTTTCTTTCTTTTGTGTCTCTGTCCCCTCATCCGGGGAGACGCACTTGACCAGTTTTGGGCAGTGGGCAAGTCTAAGTAAAAGTGTGTGTGTGTGCGTGCGTGCATGTGTGCGTGCGTGCCTGCGTGCGTGTGTGCATGCATGTGGGCGTGCATGCGTGCGTGCGTGCTTGTGTGTGTGTGTGTGTGTGTGTGTGTGTGTGTGTATCTGTGTGTGTGCGTATGCATGTGTGCGTGCATGTGTGTGTGTGTGTGTGTGTGTGTGTGTGTGTGTGCATGTGTGTGCGTGCGTTACTATAATGGCTGAGGCTGTTGGCATGTCTCTGTTGGCACTGCGTTCCCAGTACCCAGTTGCCGAGGCTGGTTGGTAAAATAACTCCAATTTCACTTCAAGGTACCAGTGCAGCGTGCTGTCTATACTGGTTACTCCAGCAAGTGTAGGGTGCATAGGTAACTGTCTTGGCCGTCCTATTCGGATGTACTCCGCGTGGTGTAGACCAGGTATGCAGGGGGGTGGGTCAGTTATCTTGCGCTTATCTTGATCTGTTGTAATCAGAATCAGATCCGCTATCGTTGCTATAAGGAGAAAATCTGTGGGTGCACATCCAGTGCATTTGCAGATTTGCGTGCTTCTCTTGCGACGGGCGTATACATGGTACATGCTACATGGTGGATCTACATGGTACATGATGTGTGAGTGCGCGCATGTGAGTGTCTGCTTTTCATATTCTGTTTTGCGCATTTTCCTGTGTTTGCATGGACAACATTTACATCTGCGCTGCTTGGCACAGATCCTATACGTAAGTGCATAACATTATTTAGCATAATAATATCTTTAAGATTTTTCTAAGCACTCGCAGACTCCATTGCAGCCATTCACACATTACAGGGTACCTCACTTCAAACTCTCCAACTACGGTCTCTTCCCTGCATAAGTTCACTTCACTTCCAAAATAAACGAGAGAGCTTGGAAGCTCAGGGCCCTACGCTATGCTTTATTGCCTTGATGACCTAGACAAAAAAAGGATAGGGATGTTATAAATTCTTTAAAAAAATCCTTTTTTTAAGACATAACCTGGGATTCGAACCCGCACTATCGCGCGCCCTGCATGCATCCCTCGATACACTTCGCATACATACTAATTCTTCCAAGTTGTTTCACATTGTGATCTTGCATTTAAAAGCCCTATTTGAATCTGCATTGTGGCCAGCCGTCTTTGATGGCACGGTACGGTAGGGGATAGGTACGGGACAGGTACGAGCAAGGGTAATACGACACCGTCTCCCGTACCGTACCGTACCATCAAACACAGCTGGCCACATACAGCTGCCCGCAATATTCAAACAGGGCTTTCAAACGCAAGATAATAACGTGAAGTAACTTGAAAGAATGGGTATGAATGCGCAGTGTATGGGGGAATGCATGTAGGGCGATAGTGCGGGTTCGAATCCCAGAATATGCCCAGAAAAATTTATAACATCCTATGCTTTTTTGCTGTCAGATACGGAGAGCGCCAGGCGTGACACAAACAAACACACAAACAAACAAATACCAAAGTAAAGCTGTGTGGACCCTGGCTAGCGCCAGACGTTACTGAAGTAACGTCTTCTGCATAGCTACGGGAATAAATAATATTAGATACAAATGGTGCATTCCATTTGTATCTAATATTATTTATTTATTTGGGAAGTGAAGTGAACTTATGCAGCGAAGAGACCGTAGTTGGAGAGTTTGAAGTGAGGTACCCTGTGATATCTTGAAGATGTAGATGTAAAGTTGTCACTCCTTAGGAAGATTCTCCCACCAGTGTTGTGGTACGTGTGGTGATCTGAAGCTGGATCTGCACCAATTACTCCCAGATTTAGGGGATTTCAGGGCGTGTCTAAAGTTGGGTGGTTCAATAGACAATTAAGTCATCTCTAAAATTGTCATTTTGCATGGTGATATCTGCGGCATTCATACTTTTCATAGCTACTATTAAGTCATCTTTCTTTTGTTTTGTATCTTTGTCCCCTCATCCCGGGAGACCCACATGACCAGTTTTGGCTGTGAGCAACAAGTACAAGTACAGGTGTGTCTGTGTGCATCATTTAAGTCTGCGTTGCCTATTGTGTTCTGTGCATTTTTTTCCTGTTTTCGGCATGGACAACTTTCACAGCACTTTCGATTTCATTTTCCGCAGGTCCTCCGGCTGAATGTAAGTTTATCTACACATTTAGAATATGAACCCCAGCCTGCAGAATCCTGAGCACTAGTATGTGTAATTTTTCAAAAAATATTGTTCCGCCCAGAATTGATTCTACTCTATTGAACTTTCGTATAATTTTAAACTCGGATAATGAGCCAGTATTAAAAGTAAAAATAGAAAAAGAAAACACCTGATCGACGAGGAGACAATAGTCGTAAAATGGCAATAAATAAGATAAATTGTACACTCATAACAACAGCAAAAAATGAAGAAAGTTAAGTTCCATTCTGCCACCATCAGCAGCCGCACCGCAATGCCGCATGTCTACTCGTGAGACAACCAGATCTGCAACACATCATCCATCACAACTCACCAGTATTCTTCCTCCTCAGTCACGAAACAACACGCTCCGCTCATTTCCCCACTCCCTCATCGCAACATGGAATCAGCTCCCACCTACC